CTTCAGTCGTGTCCGACTCTGCAACCCCATGGACCGTAGCCCGCCAGGCTCCTCTGTCCATGGGATTCTCCAGGCAGGAATACTGGAGTGGGTTGCCATTTCCTCCTCCAATGTGGGTGTGAGCTGCTGATTTACCATATTAGAAACTGAAACTGAGAAATTAAAAGATTTACTAGCTCATTTAAAAACAAACCTGAAAATTATAAATAATCTATTTTCTACGAAGAAATAGCTGTATTTTCTGACTGAAAGGTTTATTGAGAAGAGTAGCATTATTTTGCATTTTGGTACAATATCCTGAATGTCTAAACGTACTGAAAAGATAGTTATATTCCCATATCTGCTTCTGTATTCAGTCTGTTACAGTATGCTGTTTTGTTGTAATGTCTAAAGAAAATCTGACCTCACACAGATATGTGGTTGGAAAAGGGAAGAGTAATTTAATTGTCTTTTCAGCTAATCATGGACATTTTTGTTACTATACCAGAACTCAACAAGTGGTAGTTTCTTAAAGGTTAGTAGCAATGTGGAATTTTAAATGTATTAGTGACTTTTTCGTACTTGATTATACTAAAATCCATTTGTCTTTCTTGCACTCTGAATGACTCTGTCAAGCATAATTGTTATCAACATGCATTGGTCATTTGAAAAATGTTGCTTCAAGCTGTGTGAATATTCCAAACACTGACATACTATGAAATATGAAGTCTGCTATCAAAAGTTCACCTTTATCAATACCACCTTCTTTTGCTTGCAGAGTGTCTTTAAATCTTGGGATTCTATCAAGCAAAGAATGATAGATGCTGTTTTTCCCACAATTTTAACTTGAAAACTCTACTTTTATTGTTGGCAACAAATACCATTAATGACAGCTAAGTTTCTTCATGTTAAAGAAAAATGTCAGCCAAAGACCCAAGCCTGAATGACCATGGTTTGTCAGTCATTCTTTCCAGTAAACATGGTGTTTCATGAAGAAGGTGGTTTGTTTTAGCACAAGAAACTGTAGCACAAGGCTTCTCCTCAGTTACCCCACGGTGCCGCAGCCTGCACAAGGGCTGTGTGAGAGCGCATGGTTTGAAGCAGAGTACTGAACAACCGTGTCCTCAAGGGGCGAGACTGAATAATAGTAACCTTTACCGCGGCATTAGGAACCTTCTTAGATGTGGGGGGCATGTTAGAAGCCTGAGGAGCCCTGGTACTGGCTGGTGCGGGGCCGTGGTCTGTGCCACAGGCCTGGTGGTTGCCCTCACTGTTGCTTTTGCACCACTGATAGAAATTGTGGTGCAGTGGAGAAGATTTATAATGTCTTAGTATTATTTTGAAAATAATTTTGATGTTATGGACCACCTCCTGTCAGGGAAGATGTGAGGGAACGGGTGGTTTACATTGTCATGTTTAATGTGGGTTAAACATTAGTAATCATGGGTTATGAAAAGATGTTTAAATCCTGTGTACATATTGCTGGGTCTTGAGAAGTTGCTTTTGCTTTTCCCCTCTGGTGCTTGTCTGCAGGCCATGGGTAGGGACTAAAGGAATGTTGTACTGTGGTGTTAGAATTTCTGGAGGAAGAACATAGCATTCATTTGAATTTGATAGCATTTTTTTTTTTTTCCTCCCTCAGGTACAAGTACTTCCTGAGAGAATTCAATTGTTTTGATTTTAGACACAAAGGAAGTATATGGACTGTGATTCATTTGAATTGGGGTATCTCAAGGAAGTTATTTGTAGCTTCTGCCTTGCCTTGTCCTGCATCCTCTTAGAAACTTCCATTGAGTAACTTGTTTGTGCTAAGTTCTGTGTCAGTGAACAAGTTCTGAGAAGGGTAGGTTCCCAGCCTCTGGGAGCACAGGGAAGAGAGTCAGGATGAAGCAAGATGAAAGCTGTTGGCGGGTTAGCACGGGATCTCTGGGAAGCTTCCCAGGAGAGGTGCTGTGTAGTAGGTGTTAGAGGAGATGTGGGCCTGGCTTGGCAAAGGAGCACAGGCCATGGCAACAAGAAGGAGAGGGGGATGCAGTCCAGGGAGTGGCCTGAGAGTGAGGGCTGCACACAGGCCGGATGCGGGGGCTGTGGCAGAGGACACGTGCAATCAGATCGTAAAGGGTCCTGCTGGGACTTGATCTCATAGGCCAGTGGCTCTGAAAGCTGGTTCCTGACCAGCAGCGTCAGCATCTCTTGGGAACTTGTTAAAGATGCAGATATCCAGGTCGAGTGTCAGATAGGGGGGTGGGGTGGGTTGGGCTGTCCATTTCCGCTAGCTCTCTGGGGGATGGCCTGGTGTGGGGGAGGTGAGGGAACAGTCCAGGCTCTTTGAGCAACCTTGAGTTTTAGAAAGATCGCTCTGAGGATTTTCTGGAAGGTGGGACGGGGGGTAAGTTAGGGAGCAAGTCGTCCAGTGTTTCTGTGGATGTGATGTGGGCCTGGACCAAAGGCAGCAGGAATGAATGGGTTTGCTGGAGATAGATTCTCTGGAACTTTATTGCTAGGAGAGGACGTAAAAGCCGAGAAGACGGCTGAGCTTTGCTCTGTGACCTGCCAGCAGTCACAGATGGAGAGTTTTAAAGGTTCTCGCTGCCTTGTGTCTTCAGGGAATAGCTTTTACTGAAAGTGAAACATCCAGCATCCCTTAAGATACCTTGCTGGAGCCTCTTCCATCTCCTCTTTGAGACTGTCGCTTAGCTCAGGATGGCGACCTCTGGACAGGAAGCGCGCACACTCAGGGCTCCCGGTCTTAGAAGGGACAGTGCAGTGTCATTTCACTCACTCGTTTCAGCTCCTGGCAAGCTTAGTAAATGGCGTATGGCATCCAGCTCCTTACAGTGCATGTTTCCTGTGAGTCGGCGTGGAGCGCTCTTTTACTATTGAAATCTTACCAGTCTGTAGTGCCATTTGGTATATGTATGTGTCCAGAGGGGTCTCTGATTTCAGTTACAGCAATTATTATGTTATTATATTATGTTCATATGTTTATCAATAGAAGTGTGTTAAAACCTTTATTCTTCATTATTTTAAATTCTTTTTTCTGTGTGTCCCATTTTGTCTTACAGATTTGTCAGACTCCAGAGCCTTCAAGCTGTGATTAATCTGATGGTTCGTGAAACAGCTGGGAAAACAGACGTTTTGTGTGCCATCTGAAGAGTGTGTCTATGTATATTTAAAACTTTCTTTCTACACATACACATTTACACAAGAAGACAGGCTCATTCTTGTACGCTCTTGAAGAGTTTTACAACTGATGAAAATTAATTTAAGAATCAGATGGAGCAACTTGACACCACTGGGCTCAGGAGCCCAGGGAGAAAAATACATCACTAATGGCCAGTTTTCCATATGGTCTTCACGGGTAAAGAAAGTTTGCAAAAAGAAGAGAAAAAAAAACTTGCGCAGATCAAGCCTCAAAAATACCTCTCCAGTTTAAAGGAACTAAGTGAGAAGGTGACTGAGGGGGAAGTGTGATTTCAAGCCTTGCAGGTGGGAGTGTGCTGTGCTTTTGGCACTTTATTTTTCAGTGGGTCTGGTGATTTGGACAGATGTTAACATTCAGGACTGAAGAGTGGCTCTCACTGTGCGCTTACGACTGGAGGAAAGCCAGCCAGGCTGTGATGGGGCAGGTTTGAACAATGAACTGATTCCTTTGCCTTTTTTCAGTTAACTGAAAAAAGTCCAGAAATTTTAATTTATTGTTTCCCTTTTCCTTGCCTGTATCTGTAGGATAGTTCCTTAAGGTAGCAATTGAAACTGCTAATCACAAAATAGTTATCAAGGCGCATCCTTGTAAATCTTCTTTCCTTGGACTGTACCCAGGGCATTTGGAGACGGTCTAGGAAGGTGGTCAGGAGAGTGCCCTTCAGGTCACTCTTCAGGGAGACAGTGAGAAAAGAACCCAACTCTTGCCTTTGTTTCCATTTTAAGGGGTTCTTTCCCCTGTTGAGTCCAGGCATGCTTGCATGTAAGAGGAGGACCAGTTGATGGACTTGATTCTGGGATTAGTTTTTTCCTTCAAGATGGAAAAGCACGTCATCCTTAGGAGCAGAAAGGGCGAGGAGTGACTAGGGGAGGGAGGACGGAGACCTCCTGCAGCCCAGCTGGGCTCCCCTTGGTCAGCACGTGTGTTTAGATTAGCTGGAGGTCCACGCTTCCGTAAAGCCCTGGAACCTCCTGGCTCTGCTGGGGGCAGGGGCTTCCTTCCTGCCTCTATGGCCCCCAGGGTTGCGTCAGCCTGTGTCAGGGCCCTCCGTGGGGACACCGCCACATGCCGGGAAGCCCAGTTGGGCTCTGAAGTTGGAGGTTTCTGGCTCTGAACAGTGAGGAAAGAGTTTTTTTTTTCCTTCTAAAATTTGGACTGCTGTCTGCACAAACTCCGGTCTGTTTTGCACAGTTTGTGTGCCTTTTTTTCCCTTTATGCAATCTTCTTCAGCTTTAGCAGCAGAAATTTGTCTAGCTGAGAAAGCAAGCCTGAGGGTGACTTCAGAAGGAAGATGATCCCGTGTATTCTGTCTCTGTATCTGAACTTTTGAAGGGGACGCTCCAGCTCAAGGGATTCTTAAAGCCTTAAGTTACTTGAAATCTGTGTATTTGCAGCCCTTTGTGTCTGGAATCACATTACACTAAACTGGAATCTCAGGCTGAATAAGAAGAACCAAGTGAAAAGAACACTCAGTTTCTTTATCACCACTTGTCAACGATGCTCTTTCTCCAAAGGGTCACCCGGCTCTTCCTCTAAGGACTTGAAAATAAAAATGGACCCCACATTTTTTTTTAAGCATTATCTTTTCTTAGCAGACTGCCATCATCTTTTATAGAGGAATTTTTTCACTATGCATTTGGTGGGGCTTTATAAAATATTGACCTTCTAATTAGAATCAGGACAGTTTCAATTAAACGGGGTCAGACAAAACAGTGAAAGCCAACCACAGAAATAACACCAGTCAGTGAGAGCAATTGGTTTAAATTTATCGGCATTCAGCCTTGCTCTTTAAGTAAAACGGTTCTTCCAAAAAAGTATGTATGCAGCGGTGGAGCATGGGCCTGTCCTGTGCAGCGACTCCAACATCCTCTGCCTGTCCTGGAAGGGCCGCGTCCCCAAGAGCGAGAAGGAGAAGCCTGTGTGCCGCAGGCGCTACTACGAGGAGGGCTGGCTGGCCACAGGCAACGGGCGCGGCGTCGTCGGGGTGACCTTCACCTCCAGCCACTGCCGCCGGGACAGAAACACTCCGCAGAGAATCAACTTCAACCTGCGGGGCCACAATAGTGAGGTGAGCGGGCTTCTGTTTCCCTTTTTGTCTGGTCACAGGCGGTGTTTGTGAGCCCCGCCTGGCATGGACTCCTGGTTCTCAGACTTGCTGCCAGGGGAGACTTCTCAGATGTGAACCCTGTCTTCTGTGTGTGTTCCCAGGGAGACCCAGTTCCCGGTGGCCTGTGTCACCTCTCCAGCATCCCTCGTTCTCCTTTTGCTGTGGTGGTGGGCTGCCCCCTGGCAGGGACTCCAGGGTGGCGTTCTGACCAGGTGTGAGATTGGATGAGAGGCTCCTAACCTGCCTGCCACACTCCAAGCCTTATGGTCACCTGGATCAAGGCAGAGTCCCTGCCCTGGGGTCAGACGGGCTGTGCAGGCCACGGGTGTGGTGCTGCCTCGGTCATACAGTTCACATCTGTGTGCTGGGTGCTGGTGTCACACCTCGCGTGTATTCTTGTGTCAGAGGTAGACAGAGGAACTAACTGGACAGAGATGAAGGGAGTAATTAATGGGACAACAGCCACAATTTTTCACATCTACTGGGTATAGTATATTGAGGACATTATGCTATGTGTACCTGTGTATAGATTCCTTTGGGCTTCTGGTAACATAAATTTGGTCATTATCTTTGAAATTCCTTCTACCAGCATTTAGTGAGCAATGTGTTTAAAAGAAGAAGTGTACTTACATAGTCTGTTAACCATATTCATGCTGCCTTGTCCACTAGTTTCTTACGAGGAATCCACCTTATATTGTCATTAGGTGGTTTTGGACAGTTCTGAAGGGGAAGAATATTTTTGAAGGGTAGCATGCAGTAAAAGTGCATTAACCTTAAGCGTACATCTTGGTGATTATTTACGTGTGCCGTCTGAAGTGTAACCATCACCCAGATTGGGGTGCAGAGCATTCCCAGGACCCCTTCCCAGTCTCTGCACCCCACTGTGAGGTGGCTGAGACTTGCGCTTCTGTCGTCACAGACCAGTTGTGCCTGTGCTTGAACTTGCTGTGAGTGGAATCATTCATGTGATTCTGCGTCTGGCTTCTCACTTAGCACGGTGTCTGAGGTACGTCCCTGCTGTGTGCCACGAGTGCGCTCTTGGTCTGCTTTTCAGTCTCCCCCAGAGGAGGACACCACTGTCTGTCCATTCTGCTGGTGGGCATTTGGAATGCTTCCAATTTCTGGCCGTTTTGTTGAAACTTGCCTTTAACACTCATGTGTGTGCCTTCTTGTGGATCTCTGCACTCTTGTTTCATTCTTTTACAGGTGGTTGACCAGTTTTCCCAGCACCACTTGTTAAAGAGGTTGTCTTTTTTCCATTGTATATCCTTGCCTCCTTTGTCAAAGATAAGGTGTGCATAGGTTCGTGGGTTTATCTCTGGGCTTTCTATTCTGTTCCATTGATCTATATTTCTACCTTTGTGCCAGTACCATACTGTCTTGATGACTGTGGCTTTGTAGTATAGTCTGAAGTCAGGCAGGTTGATTCCTCCAGTTCCATTCTTCTTTCTCAAGATTACTTTGGCTATTTGAGGTTTTTTGTATTTCCATACAAATTGTGAAATTATTTGTTCTATTTCTGTGAAAAATACCATTGGTAGCTTGATAGGGATTGCATTGAATCTATAGATTGCTTTGGGTAGTATAGCCATGATCTCTGCACTCTTGATGGGTTTCTGGTAGATTGCTTTGGGTAGTATAGCCATGATCTCTGCACTCTTGATGGGTTTCTGGGTCGTAGGATGGGCATGCATTGAGGTTTAGTAGGAATTGCCCGGAACGATTTTCCAAAGTGATTGTGCCATTTGATACCGCTATAGTCAATGTATGGAAAGTTTCAGTTGTGTAAGAAACTTAATTTGGATTTGAATTTTTCATATTAAAAAGGTGATTTTATGCAAGGAATTTCTGTTTATAGATATTTGTGTTCTTCACACACACACACCTGTAATTTTGAACTGGATGCTCTCTTAGGAGACGTATTTTAGATTCTGCATAACAAATTACCATGGACTTAGTAGCTCCCAGCAACCACTTCTTATCTCACAGTCTGCAGGTCTGCAGTGCTGGCTGGGTCCTCTGTGTGGGGGTCTCAAGGGTGGGAAGCAGGATGGCAGTAAGGACTGTGAGCTTTTCTGAGGCTGGGGTAGCCCTCAGACTTGTTCATTTCTGTTGACAGAAATCGGTTCCCTGCAGTTGTAGGACTGAGACCCTAAGCCCTGAGAGCTGCCCAGGCTCCTGCCTTGTGGCCCTCTCCACAGCATGGCCACCCGTGTCTCAGCAGCCGGCAGGAGAGCATCTGCTGTAGCTCCGAGTCTGACTTTGCACCTCTGGAGAGGCTCATCTCCGTGTGAGGGCATCGTCTGGGGTGTACACACCAGGGGCTGCTGCTTTAGAATTCTGTCTCCCATAAGAGAGGTGATAATAATTCCCAGTGGTATGCATATTTCACCACTGAAACTATTTCATGTGACTTTTCTATTTTGTAATTTTATTTTTCATTTCTATTTTTTTTAAATTGAAGTACAGTTGATTTATAATATTGTATTAGTTTCTAGTGTACAACACAGTGGTTCAGTTATGCATACATATAATACTTTTTCATTTATTTTCCATTATGATTTATTATAAAATACTGAATATATCTTGGAATATATGTGGGGAAAAAAAGATACTGAGTATAGTTCCCTGTGCTACTTTCTGTTCCTGATGTTAAAATAGTTCCTATTTATTGGGCGCCTGCCAAGTAGGGTGCCCAGCCATCCTGGTTTCCCAGCGTATGAGACTCCTGGTGCTAAGAGTGGAGAGGCCACGGGCAAGCTGCCCAGGGCCAGACCTGGTTCCAGCTGCCGTCCAACCCAAGTACCTCATGGATGTCCACAGCAGACTAGGGGTAGATACTATCATTCCCATTTTACAGGTCAGAAAGCTAAGGTTTACGGATGTTAACTGCCTTGTCTTGGTTCATACAGCTCGTATGGAGGACAGCTGGAATTGGACCCCAGAGCTCTGCCACTCTCCTTCAACATATCTTTATTTTCTTAAAACTTGTGTTATGTGTTAGTTCTCAGTCCTTAATCCACAGTTGTGAAGTGTCAGGGCTCTGAAAAGGAACAGATTTTTCAGGCAAGACCTGAACTGATGTGAGGCTTTTTATTGTCATCACCCCATCACGTCAGCTGCAGAAATATTTATATTTTATTATAGGTGCTACCCAGACCCTGCTGGGGTTGTCATATATTGATGGTGTCTGCTGTTTTCAGCATCTAAAATTTCAAAAACTCTGAATTTCAAAACCTACCTAAGCTGCAAGGATTACTCACTGCAGCTGAGTACTGGAGTGATTTACTCAGTCATTTTGAGTAAATGATTATGGACCTGTATTTTTCTTTAAGGGAATCATGAAAGGCAACCTCCAAAGACTTCTATCTTTTTTCCTTTTCAGGAAGGATGACATTTCGGTCATCTCTGTCCATTGCTCATTTCTCTTATCTTCACTGCCCTTCCACACAAGGCGCAAAGTCCCCTTGTGCCCGCCCTGACACACACACACCCTGAAGACTCTAGTGAAGGGCTGTGGCAGGATTTTACTCTTCTTTCTGGCCATGGGATAACAAGACTGCAGACATCAGATCTGGTTGTCGGCTGATTTCACAACTGAAACACTTGGGCATATTTTTTTCCAGGAAAACAATTTCTTACAGTTATTATTGATGTCATGCAAGTTAGTCACTTAATTCTTTATTTAACGAGATTTTCTTCACTTGAGAGCGGACAGACATTTGTGCATGCTTAGTGGGATTAGTTTCCTTATAGGAATACATCCACTGTGACAGTGTTTCCTGGGTTCTCGGATCTGGTTACTTTTTCTCCGAGAAGCTTCTTTTGACCCTCTGCCCTCCGCATGCCCCACTCCGCACCCCAGGCTCTTCGCTGTACATGGAACAGACCTCTGTGCTTGCACTGGTAAGGCTTTACCACAGTTACCTGCTTGTGTGGGTTGGTAAAACTTACTGAAGATGGTCTGTTCGCGTGGTCTTACTTTCCTCACCTCCCACTATTTCAAATATCATTCATTCATTTTAATTTCCTCTAACTTGTCAGCCTGCTTCAGTGGGGCGTCTTTCCACCACTCCACTGAGATGGTCATGTTCCCAGTGATGCCACGTTGCTGAACCTGTAGACCACTTTATTGTCCTCGCTGTCCTGGAAACTTCCCAGGACTATAGGCTCTCCTGATCTTCCTCTTACCTTTCTGGTCTCTGCTTTCTACCCTTCTTTGCTGGCTCTGCCTTCTCTTGGCTTGTCTTTCAGTGTTGGAGGGCCCAGGCGTGCCCCTGATTCTAGATCATCTCTCCAGGTTGGCACGTGCAAGATGTACCTGTATGCTGACGATTCTCAAATTTATGTCTTCTACCTGCATCTCCTTCTGAGAAGTTCCAGATTCTCTTCTTTAGTTTGTTGTCTGAGATACAGAATTGGACATCAGTCATTCTGCTTTTCAAACACCAAGTCCTCTCTGAGAGCCTCTTTCTCCACTGTCCCATCAGCCACCACACCCATCTCACTATCTGTCTTCTCCATCTCAGGAGATGGCCCCACGGGCAGCCAGGAGTCACACGTCCCGCACAGCGCCTCCCTGCCCTTCCTTTCCTTGTTCCCATTTGCCAGTAGGGCTTCATAGTGTCTTCCACGTCCATGTGATGGCTAGGCCATGCCTTCCTCTCTCCTTTGCCATCATGCTGGATAAGACTTCTCACAGATCTCTTGACTTAAACTCTGTTGTTAAGCCATTGTGGAGGGCCGTGCTTAACAGGGTATGTTTGGTTTCTCAAGTATTGTCAAACCATTCTAAAGAATTTATATCCAGTGTACTTTAGTTATCTTTTGTCTTTCCTAAAAATATTGCATGACGTAGGTACTAAGAAGATCTAGTATTTATTGAGTGTGTGCTGTGTGCCGGCACATTTCATCCTGGAAACAGCTATGGGACTTTGAGCCTGCTGTTATCATCATCTTCC